AGGAGAGAGTGTGCCCCCAAGACGCTGGTAAGAAATGTTCATGTGCTCTTACTATATTTTCAAAGTAAATACTTCTTTATATTAGTAATAAATAAATATTTCTTTGCAATTTCTTTGTTAATAAATGTGAATTGGTTAAATGGAGGGGAGGGGAGGGTGTGGAAGTGCTTAGCAGAGCCTGGTACATAGTAGGTGCTTAATAAATATTGATTGACTAATTGGAATTGAGGTACTAGTCAATCACAATTGGTGAACACTGGGGAGAGCAAAACCAGTAAGGGATGGCATTAAAGAAGAGACACCCTAATCGTTCAGGGTCCCCCTAGAACCCTGATGGGGAGATACAGCAGCCTGGCTCTGGTTGAGTGTGCTTTCTACATGTGTGTGATTCTCAGACCAAAATTCTCTCCTTGGCCACCACTTCCCTATATCTTCATGGGTTAGAATGTGAGAACCACAAGGGAAGAGGCAGTCTTACTCTTATATTTGTATCCTTGGGGCTTAGCACAGTACTTGCCCCATAGTAAGCTTTTCATTCATTTGTTCATTTGTGCTGGAGTACAGACAGGGGGAAAAAGAGGGATATGAAATGGCATTCCCTCTCACCCCCAGGTTCCTTCACTGTATCCCAAAGGGATCTATGCAAAAAAAAGAAAAGAAAAAAAAAGAAAAAGAAAGAATCTCAAAGTAAAAAAAAAATCATCTTATATAACTGGCTCTCCACACTCACACTCCTGGCTGCAGGCCCCATTTCCCAATAACAAAGCTAGATTGGTCTGCATCGCTCATCTCCATGACCTCCAGGAAGCTGCTTCATCACTCCTGTCCCTCCTACTTCAGAGAGCCTTCCAATAAGACAAAACAAAAACGAATAGGACTCAAGAGAAAGGGGCGTGGGACTTGAGACTTGTCCTCTTTCCTTCTAGAGACAGCTTCGTAGAAGCTCCTCCAAAGGGGGTTGGTCTGAGAGCTTATTCCATTTCTGAGACCTGCTGAGCAGACTTTAGGGAGCAAAACAAATGGTAGTCAAGCTCTCTCTGCTACTGACAACCTCCCCCAGGGCTGGGCAGCCTGTCTAGCCATAGAAGAGGGATTCCTAAGTTGGGGTCCATGAATAGATTTCAAAAAAATCCTGAGCTTGGATGGGGGGGGGAAATTACACCTTTTTCTTTTTATAGAATTGATTTTCTTTATAATGTTATATGTTTTATTTTATGCATTTAAAAGCATTATTCTGAGTACGGGTTCATAGGCTTCAGAAGTCTGCTGCCAAAGGGGTCCTTGCCACAAATAAAAACTCTATGAACCCCTTAGAGCTATCAAATGGTGAAGAGCTGGAAGGGACCTTAAATATTACTTAGTCCAACTACCTCATTTAGAGTGGGAAACTAAGGCCCAGAGAAGGGAAAGGATTTGTCTAAGAGTCAATGGTGGATTAGTAGCTAAAACCCAGTTCTTCTGCCCCTAGTCCTCAGTTTGGCATCTTTCCCAATCCTATCCTTGCCCCATTAGGGGATCTGATGTGAAATGACTGTTTCTGCCATCCCAGAACACAGGGGATCTCAGGGGTAGCATGGGAGGTCAGAGAATGGCTTGACAGAAAAGACAAAAGCAATTTTTTGGATAGCCATAAATTCAACTCCTACCTGGTTATCAAGGGATATGTAGTATTTACAAGAGGTAGCGGGGCTGGAGACCCAATTCAGGCCGTGGGAGTAGATTGTGCATCCAGAGGACACTGCCTAGACCAATCTGGCTCCATTAGTGTTGAGGTTTAGGGGTGCTGGGAACCCAAAATCACAACATGTGTCCTGCCCAAATGAATTTGACCCGTCTTTTTTCAGCCAAAGACAAGGTTTATTAGAACATCTGCCATATTGGCCAGACTCTTAAGGAATCTGAACATTACTGAGCTATTGCCTAGATTTTAAGAAACTGAGCAGTGGCTAGATTTTAAGAATCTTAGCATCTTAATGGAGACAAGATGGACCTTATATGCAGAAAGAGTGTAGGAAAGATCTAGGCATCCTAGGGAGAATGGAGTCTACATAGGATTAAGGGTGGGAAGTGGCTGGAAGCGGGAGAGGCTACCTGGAGGTAATAGCTGATGGAGGGCTAGGTCTTATGATGAAAGGCCAGTTGATAGGATTATAGCCTCAGGCAAATGCCAGAGATTTGGCCATGTGGGAAAGTTCAGGGTTTTTCTTTTTTGGGGTCCGGATCCCATCCTCATCATTAGGAAGCTTGTTTCAGGGAGCAACGAGAATGCCACACTAAGTAATTTCCCTTCCTTCTCTTTTTGGCTTCCTGGCAGACTGCCCCCGCTGCCTGCCTGTGGTCATGTCTTTCTCTGAACTTCTGTGGAATAGAATGAAGTGGAATAGGACTTGAGAGCTGGGAGGGACCTCATAGAACATTCTAGCTCATCTACAATTTCCAGAAGAAGCTGAAATTTAAGGTTAAGTGATATGCCCATAAGGGCAGCTAGGTGGCAAAGTGCATAGAGCTCTGGGCTTGGAGTCGGTAAAACTTATCTTCCTGAGTTCAAATCCAAGCCCAGATACTTGCTGGCTGAGTGACCCTGGGCAAGTCATTTAACCCTGTTTTCCTCAATTTCCTCACCTGTAAAATGAGCTGGAGAAGGAAATGGCAAACCACTCCAATATCTTTGCCAAGAAAACCCCAAATGTGGTCACAGAGAGATGCATAAATATATCCATTTTTTAAAATGAAGTCAAAGCTCATCAAAGAAAATAAAAGTCTAATATGGCAAAATCACTTCAAATAACAATAAATGCATCACATTTGTATGCATACATGTGGTGAAATTTGAGTTGGGAAACGTTAAACCTTGACAGGGGCACAATATGTCATGATCATTATAAGGTGCTCTCAACACAGATAAATTGCTTCATTGTGCTATTTGCTGCATTTGAATGTGAACTATGTAAACCTGAAGATAAACAGCCTTCAGGTGGAACTTAAAAATACCGTTAAAATGACTGAACAATGGCTGATATACCCATGCTCATACAACTTCTCAAGCAAGCAGTTTTTATCAAGTACTTTCTGGTACCAGGTATTGTGGGAAGAACTGGGAATTGAAAAAAAAATTAAAAGTAAACAGTCTCTGCCCTCAAGGAGCTTACTTTCTAACCAGAGAGGCAGCAGGTACATGTATACGGGAATATACAAAATAAGGACCGGAGAACATAGATCAAGAAGACCAAGTCAAAAAGCATGTGTGCTAGGTACTGTTCTAAGCATTGGGGGATAACAAAAATAAAGCAACCACATGCCTCCTCTAGGAGCTCACATTTTAATGGGAGAAATAATGTGCAAACAACTGGGGCAGCTAGGTGGCACAATGGATAGAGCTCCAGACTTGGAGTCAGGAGGACCTGAGTTCAAATCTGACCTCAGACACTTCACATTTACTGTCTGTGTGACCCTGAGCAAGTCACTTAATCCTAATTGCCTCACCAAAAAAAAAAGGCAAAAAAATGTGCAAACAACTATGTATGTACACATCAGTGTAAATGGAAGGCAATCTTGGGCTGGCTTAGGAGAGGTAAGGCACTAGCAGTGAGAAGGAACTAGAAAAGTCTGCCAGCTTTGGAGGAAACTAAGTGTTCTAAGATGTTCAGGGTACAAGGGAGTGTTTTCCAGATGTGGGGGCAAAGAAACAGAAATAGGAGAATATATACGAAACAATGTTAGTTTGGCTGGACCATTAGGGGACATGAAGAGGATTAAGGTCTAATGAAGCTGCAGAGGTAAGACGTAGCAAGGTTGTGAAGGGCTTGAAATACCAAATAGAGAAGTTGCTGGTTGAACCTGGAGGTAATAGGGAGGCATGGAGTTTATTGAGTAGGAGAACAACGAGGTCAGACCTGGCAGCTGAGTGGAAGATGGACTGGAGGGAGCAGTGAGGCCACTTAGAAGGCTATTCTAACATTCCAGGTGAAGGTGACCTAGTAGAGCACTGAGCCAAGACCAGAACTCAGGGCTTCAGATGACACTGTGCTCTCCCCGATTGGCAACACTGTCTTCCTACTTACAGCTTGTTCAATTCGGTGAGCTTTTAAGCCCCCACTAAGGAAAAAGCACAAAATACCAAGGGTAGAGGCCAAGGGATTACATTGGCTATTCACACAGATAAGTAAATACAGAATAATTTGAGGGCAGAAGGAATATTTATGCGGGGGGAAGGAGAGACCCTAAAGGAAGACTACAGACAAGAGCAAGGAGAGCAGGGTGGGGATGACCTACATGACTGCCCTGAGGTAGGAGATGGAATACTGAGTCTAGGACACAGTTAATAAATAACACACCTCAGCTCATGTGAATGTGGAGTGTGGGAAATAAAGATGGAAAACTAAGGACAGCCAAGAGGGCATAAAAAAAATTTTAATTAAAAAAAGGAGCTTGTATGTTTTATTCAAGAAAACATTTGTGCAGCTTGTAGGAAAGACTCTGTCCAAGGTTCTGGGGGATACAAAGACAGAAAGAGAGAGGTCTCTGCCTTAGGAAGCCACTGAAGACTCTTTTGAGCTGAGTAGTGAGATAGTCAAACCTGTTACTTATGAAGGTGACCATTTGATAGCACTCTCTTTTTGTTTGTTTGTTAGCTTCTCATTCACCCAGATTCTGCCAGAATTAAAAACCTCAGCATTGGTAGGGACCTCAGCAGCCAGCTTGTCCAAGGCCGTGAAGAAGAGGATCCCCACAAGCATCCCTCAGGACAAGTTATGCAATAAAATTTGCCCAGGGGTCCATCAATAAGGGACTGTTGTCAATCACCAAATCTTAAGTAAATGGCAATAATACAGTTGAACCAGAAATTCTCTTAGCATCTTAGGTCATCAAGACTTTGCTAGGGGAGGCAATATGGTGGACTGGATAGAGAGTGCTGACTTTAGTATCAAAGGACTTGAGTTTGAATTCTGCCTATGATAGTTACTATTCATGTGTGACATTGGGCAAGTCTTTTTACTCACCTGAGTCACAATTTCCTCCTTTGTAAATGATGAGGCAGCTAGGTGGTGCAGTGGATAGAGCGCTTGGAGTCAGAAAGACTCATCTTCTTAAGTTTAAATCTGGCCTCAGACACTTGCTAGCTGTGTGACCCTGGACAAGTCACTTAACCCTGTTTGCCTCAGTTTCCTCATCTGTCAAATGAGCTGGAGAAGGAAATGGCTAACCACTACAGTATCTTTGCCAAGAAAACTCCAAATGGAGTCATGAAGAGTCAGATACAACTGGAAAATGACTGAACAGCAACAAAATGATGGGGCCAGACTAGATTACCTTTGAAGTCCCTTCCAACTTGACACCTAAGACCCTATGAGCCTATGAGCTTACTATGACATAGGGCAAGTTTCCTCCTTGAGCCTCAATTTCCTCATGTGTAAAATGATGGAGTTGGACTCAGTGGCTTCTGAGCCACCTTCCAGCTCTAGATACCATCAGTTCTATGAACTACATAATGGGATAGCTGATGCTGGTCTTAGACAGTTCTCATTGTGAAGAAGGTTTTCCTAAAAGAAAAGCCTAAATTTGAACTTGTATAATTTCTACACATAATTCTTAGTTCCACCCTTCAGGGTCAAGTAAACAATTCTATTCCCAGCTCTTCTAATACCTAGAGATTTCAGTACTGATCTGGAACACATGTGGACCCCTGGAAGTAGCTCAGCTTGGCTCAGTTCCACACATGCAGAACACATGGCAGGAGGGCTTCATGAACCCCCCTATTACACCTAAATCCAGCAAATCTCCCCTTCCTATACCTCTGCTTGTAGAATCTTCAAGCTCATGCTCATTCTGAAGCAATAATACCCAACTACTACTGTCTAACATTTTCCACCACTTCCTTTAGGCTCAGGCGTGATTCAAATCTAAGCCATCCATGATTCCCCAAGGTAGGAGGCAAGACACACTGTGACATCTTACCCTGGGAGTTGTCAGAGCTGGGGAGCCAGGGCACCTGGAGTCTAGTCCTACTATCTGCCACCAAAACGTGCTGTGTGGTTGAGGAATTGATGAAGTAATTTTCCCTCACTGGATTTATTTTCTCCTCTAAAGTACAGGGACTAGGACTAGAAGCATAAGCTGTCAGAAGGAGGAGGGGGCTTAGAGGTCACCTAGTACAATTGCCTCCTTTCAGCAAAGGGAAGTGATTTGCCCTAAGTCTTACGTTAAAGCTTTGAGGAATCTGTGGTTTCATCTGTGTGAATACTTCCGTAGCCCATCCATGCCTTCTCATCCAATGCCTCTTGTCTGTGCCCTCCCCTACATCCCCCACTGGGGGTCCAGCCAATTTTCTGCCTTGACTTCCTCTAGCTGGCAACGGTGTGCTACAGTGGAAAGCACCCTGATCCTGTTGGTTTAGAGCAGTCGGGTTAAAATAGAGAGCTGCATATTGACTTAGAAAATCATAAGTTAATACTATCTATGTTTCATTGTATTTTTATTTTTTTGCTTCACATTTCCCAATTCTAATTTAATCTGGTTCAGATGCTCTGGTGAGTTTTGACACAGCTGGGTGGATGGCAGGAAGACCTGAATTTAAATTGCTTCTGATGCCTATGACATTTATAACCATGACCCAGTCTCAGTTTCCTCATCTATAAAAGGGGGAGGGGTGGACTTGATGACTTCTAAAACTCCTCCTGGATCTAAATTTATGGTCCTATGATCTTACTAGATGGAATGTGAATGTAAACCCTCTACGTAAAGGAATCATTTGTCCAATGCCTAACATGATCCCTGGCTCATAGTAAGTGTTTAATAAGTGTTTGTCAGGTGATTCAGCTACATTCAAATCCTACCTGTGATACTTCCTACATGGTGACCTTGGACGAAAGGGGTTGAAGCTGTGGTTGTTCATCCTTCGTTTTCAAAGAGGACTAATGACATCACAGGGTGATGTCTTGACTTGCAGGTGAATTGGATTTAAGTAGATGCTTCTGAGGTCTCTGTTTATGATTCCAGGATCTCTTGGCCTTAGGTGGTGGTTTTGTGTTGCCTAGGATCATCCTGGAGAGACCTGTTCTGTGACTTCATTAGCCTAGGGGAAGTTTCCAAGAGGAAATTCCTTCTGCCAAGGCAGATCTGAGCCTGCTCTGCCACATTTCATCTTCTGCAGTTTTTTGAGGGCACTGAGGGGATGACTTGCCCAGAGTCATATAGCTAGTGTATCTCAGATGCAAAATAGGAAGCTTTTTCTTCCTGACTCGGAGGCCAGTTTTCCATCTGCTTCAGCCTACTGTCTCTCCTACAAAATATAAAGAGTAAACACAAAGTGATTTAGGCAGTGTAGACTTATATTACACAGTGCTTTTACAAAATACTCTCCAAGTGCTCTCCAAGCCTCTGGGGCTTATTAATTACAAGTTTACAAGTGGTTTGTGGGTACTGCCCAGTTAACTAGATAGTATGAGCATTATTATACTCATTTTAAAGATAAGGAAATGGGTAGAAATTAGGTAACTTGCCCAGGGTCTCAAAGACATAGCTGCCTCAACCTTGATTCCCTAAGTGGGCAGTACTGGTCCCTGGGGGGCACTAGAATGATCCATGGGGGTGGTATAGGCCTGGGTGCAATTAGGGGGTATTTAATAAAAATCAGGAGGTGGTGGAAGCATAAGGAAAAAGAAAAGAAAATTTTGAAAAACCATTCATACATGTTTCATTTTGCAACAGAGTTAAAATCATAGTGATAACATTATTTTCCAAATAAACATATAAAATGCAAATTATTGATCAGTGGTCAAGTCCACCAACAGGTCTTAACAAGCAAGTGTTGGCAGGCAAGTATGTGGGGCATTGGTGCATTTCAGGGAAGTCCAGCATGCATTGGCAGGAATATGTGCATATAATGACTTGTTTACAATAAGCTACTATATGGTTACATGAAGTAATATTGTGTCATCAAAATTTCCATGCAGGGAAAAAACCGCAAATTTACAACAAATTATTAAATTTAAGATACATCATTTTTTTAATATATTTTTTGAAATGGTGCAAATTTCAAAAAAAAAAACATGAAAGGGTAAGTAAATTTCCAGGGAGGCACTGAGTAATTTTTTTTTAAAGAAGGCAGTCAGCCAAATAAGTTTGAGAACCTCTGGTTTAGACCATCTCTGAGGGCCTTCCACCATGACTTTCTTTGATCCCACATAGGCAGCAAGCCAACCTTCTGAAGCTTCTGCTCTTGTCCCTATACTTCTCACAGACTCCTTCCCCTTTTTCACCCATCTATGTGTGAGAAAAGAAAGAGTGGACAAAGACAGGGGAAGGAGGCCTTTAGCTCCTTAGGGTCTACATCATTGAGCAAAGGAGCTCAGCTAGGAGAGGATCAAGGGGTGGCCTAGGAGCCAGATGCATGGTGACTTTCACAGGAAACACTGCAGCAAGGCCACCTGGGTAGAACCTGGGGTCAGTCCCTTAGGGGGTCCTCAGTGACTGCCCTCCCAACCCAGTCTCTTTCTGTGCTGCCCATGCACAAGAGCAGCATTCCCAGGTCAGTCAAGGACACTGCCAACCACCTCTGCTCCCTACCTGACACAGCTTCTATCCCACCTCTCTCTTGCCCTCCTCCCCTTCCTCTTTTACCACCATCCTTCTCTTCCTCTCCCTCCTGGCCTCAACCTCCTCCCTCTTCTCTCTTCTAACTCATCCATCTGCTGCTCTCACAACAGTTCTGCCTCCCATAGACCCCTTTAGATGCTCCCCATGGTGGGAAGGGGGAGAATAGGACAGTGACCTGGAGGGGTTCAAACAGAGACTGGGTGGCCACTTGTTGGGGGTGGTATGGAGGTCTTTGTTGGACTAGATGATGGCCTGTGAGGCTCTTTTCTAATGTGAGATTTTGTGAAGGTCTCCTGCCCCTCAAGAATTTCTCTAGCTGAACCCTGGAATTCCACCATTAGATATCCATTGTGGGGTATAGGGTGGGGTACAACTGGAAGCAGAGATGCCAGAGGATAAAGGCAAGGGGGGGGGTGGAGTGGGATGTGGTGGGGAGAAGAGAAGGAAACCCAAAGTCAGGGAAAGAGGCAACAAGATGTAGCGGACAGACCACTAGAGTTAGAGCCAGAGAACCTGGATTCAAATCCTGACTCTAATGTTTACTACCCCCCCATAGAATGTAAGCTCCTTGAGGGAGGGAACTGTTTTTTAATTTTGTCTTTGTATGCCTAGCATCTATCTTACACATGCTAAGCACTTGAATGAACTAATTTGACCCTTTGCCCAACACCCACCCAATAGGTCAGCACCCATAGGATGGAGGAGGGGCCAATAAGGGGAAGGAGTTGGGGGAAAAAGGTCCAGGTCACTGTCCCTAGGTGCTGATGTTGGGTTCCCATTGACACAGAAAGAGCCAACCCAGCCACAATTCCAGCTGCTTCCAGGCCATGAGCACTGACTTGCAAACTGTGCTGCCTTAGATTAGACTAGTCCTCTGCATCTTCCTCCGAAACAGAATGAGAGGAGGTAACACAGCCAAGGTCTTGGTGTTGTAGCAGATGAGGTTTACCCACTAGGCCACCAGCTTTCTCCACAGTCAGAAACACCCCACATTCCCACAATCGGTAGGAATCATCATATCCTAAAAATATGTCATGGTGTCAAAAGTGGATTAGGGCTGTGAGAGGGAAACAGAGAACATAGTCCTATAAGAATAGAGTGGAATTTCCTATGTATCATTCTCCCTACTATGTCCTACTGGATTGGAAATTGTGGGTACCCAAGCAGTAGGGGATTTCTGGGTTCAAAATTAGGTTTGAGGAATTGCCTCCTGAATGTCACCACTTCTCCATGGTCAACTCTGCACATAAGAACAGGAGGGGTGGCATCAGTGACCACTTAAAAGCCTTCAAAAGGGTATCCCTTAATGTCTGAGTCAGTAATCCTATACCCAGCATACCCTTTCAGAGGCATATATGCTTGAGATTTGTAACAAATACAGCTTGAATTCATTTAAGAAAGTTAAAGATTCTTAGGTAAATCATTCCTCCTCTCTAGGCTTTATACAAGTACGAAGATGGGCTGCACAGTACAAATATTTGAGTTTGAGGTCATGAGAAGGAGAGGAGGGGAAATGTGAGGCCCCAGGGCAGTGAATTGAAAGGTGGTGGATAAGGAAAGTGGGAGGAGTGAAGTGAGGACACATAATCACAAGTGTAGATATTGAACCAGATAAAGGGAGAGAGCTAGGAAAGGAATTCCAAGTTCTACTAAACTGGACTAGAGCTTGGAAAGAGATGAGCTGGACCTGGCCAGAGAGGATGAAGGAGGGGGTCAGGGTCCAGGTGTGTGCAACACCTGATCCAGGATACAACTCCCATCAACTCACCCAACTCTCCAGGACCAATCACCAATCTAGTGGAGACTGACAGGCAGGACTTCTAATAGTCAACATTGTAGTTCCAGCAACAAGATAAAATTAGGGACAATCTCCAGCTTCAGAAACCCTCTCCTGGACCCGCCTTCATCTTCTGAGGTACCACCTTCTCCTGCATCCAGTAAGGCTGGACCACAGTAGTGAAGGAACACATCCAGCCTCGCCACTCTTGGGCCCCAGGTGAGATCTCCATCACCAAGGTTTGGAGCAATGTGGGGCAAGTTATTCTGGATTTGGGGAGAGGAGGGTCCTCTCAGCTCTGAAGGAAGAACTATGTACCTTAATGCATTCAGAGCTTTGCGCCTTCCTCAGCTCTTTTTTCTCTAACTCTTCACTCCCCAGCCACCCCCATATCTACCTTACTCCTGAATCTCCTTCTGTCTATGTCTTTTCCTATGACTCTCTCCTCTTGTCCCCACCTTGAGGTCCCTCTAACTCAGATCCTTTCTGTCCCAGGGCCTGCCCAATGGACCCACAATGACCAACCCCAAGATTTCACAGCCAATATCTGAAATTTCTTGCCTTAGAAGCTTTCCTCTCCCCCCACCCCACTCCTCAAACACTCAAAGGGCCCTGAGGATCTTTCACACAGGGAGGCCTAGGCAGTCTCAGCCTCTGAGGTGAGGGTGAGTCTGAAAGGCCTGTAACTCTGGAAGAAGAAGGGGGTAAGGAGTAGGTGAGGGGGTGGATGGGGCTCCACTGTGAGTGAAGACAGAAATTCAGACCGTGGTCCTTCGACCCTTCAGATCACAATGTCTTTCTGTGTGTTCTCTCCTTTGATTCAGAGTGGACACCATAGCCAGAGTTTCAGATTTTATTGAGTAAAACTACTTTTCCAGCCCCGCCACCAGCATTAGCTGAGCTCTCTCACCTCCGCCATCTCCACTGCCACTGGGAGAAGTGGGTGGTTAGACCAGGCTGGGTTCTGGACCCCAATACCCTGTCCGCCCGGGGATCACTCCCTTCTCTCTGTATCTGGCTTTGAATCTGTCGGCTGACCAGCTCCTGCATATCATCCTGAGGAAGAGAGGGAGACAGTAGGTTGAGTGGAGGGCCTACCTGGCATGGTAGCAGAAAGTCCTGGCCTGTGGGCACTCTGGAGCGATGCTGACGCCCCTCTCCTGGCATCCCCCCTCCCCTGCCATGCACACATACACACACACTATTATACACACATGCCCTCGCCTACCTTCCAGGCCTCGACCTCCTCCAGGAGAATCAGTTTCTCCTTCACCACCTCCAGCAGTTGCTTCTCCACAGCTTGCAGCTTGGCTCTGCAGATGCCCAGTTCGGCTTCTACAGCCAGCTTCCTTTAGGGGGAAGGGGGAGAAGGCCAGTCCTCAGCCCCGTCCTAGTGCTGAGGGCTTTTTCTCAGGCTGGGGCTCGGGTGGCAGGGGAGGCAAGGGCTGGGGGTGGCAGGGGGTGCAGGAGCAGGGGCGGCAGGGGGCAGGCTGGGGGCAGGTCCACCATGGAACAGGAGAACAGAGGCTCAAAGTATATAGCTCAGCCTCGGAGGCAACCTAATTCAACCCCTTTGTTTTACGAATAAGGTGGGGGGGGAATTATTTCCCTAAAAATCTTTCACTTTCTTAAGTGAATTTCAAACCAGATTGTCCAGATAGAAATCTCAAAAATCCAGTCTTGAACATCTGAATTTTTTCATGTTCATCTGAATGGGAAGCAAGTGGAGGGAATCTTAATCATTTCTGCCATAATTTGTCTGGTAAAAGAAACTTTGCAAACAGAGGAGGAAGACTTTTAAGGTCTCCGGGGCAGGCAGATAAGAACACCTCCAGTCAAGGGGTGTTAGGAGGGAAGAGAGGGAGGGGCTCGTTCAGAAAGACAAGAGCATTTTCTGTCTTCTCAGTGCCCCGTTCTTCAGCTGGGGCCTCCCCCCTCCAAAACCCACCAGGGCTCACTGCCCCACCCCTTACTTGGCTATGGCGTCATCACGTTCCTGGGTGACCTGCTCCAGGGCAGTCTTTGCCTCAGCTTCCCCCAGGGCTCTGGCCACCTGCAGCTGTTGCCTCTGCTGTAAAGGAATGAGAGAGGTGGGGTTAGGATAGGGGAGTAAAGACGGCTGGTGAGGGTGGAAACAGCCCAAAGGGTCCTGGGAAGGGAGTGAGTGTCTCAGGTTGGGGAGACCTTCTTACCTGGCTCTGCTCTGGCTCTTCCTGTCTGCCTGTGGTCCTGTGTGATCCACCCACCTGTTGTCTTTCTCTTCCCTCAGCTGAGCTGGCTTCCAGGAGGAGTGTGGTCACTGTGACCCTGTCCCTCCCATTCCACCTTTCTTCCTGGAATTTCCCTGGGGGAGGGGGAGACTTCCTTAAGCCATCTTCCACTCCCCCCTACACCTAGAGCCCGGGTAGCATTGGAGCCCTGCCCCACAGGGAAGAATACTTACCCTCCTATGAATAAAGGCTAACTTAGGGGGTGTCCTCCCAGGACTTGAGGTTCCTGCTTTCAGGGTGGGGCTGAGGAAATACATGGTCCTTTGACCCTGACTTCCTGGTAGAGTCACTAGGGCCCCACCCCTGCCCTCTCCCCTAGCTCTACTCCACCCCGTCTAGGCCAGGCCCCAGGGGTGGCCCTCCACCTGTCCCTTTCTGGTCACTCCTCAGCCCTTAGACACACACCTTAGCCCATTCATTCAGCTCTCAGCCAGTGTTCCTCTTAGGGCTAAAGGTGCTGTGACAGGAAGCGCTTGGAAACCAGAAAGCCTAAGCCCAAGCAAACGAATCTCTAAAGTGGAATTTCAGGTTGCTTGGAGGGAAGGTAGGAAGTGAACATTGTAAGCAGCAAGGTCTACACTGTGCTCTTCATGTCATCAAGTGGGCACCTGATTGGGACCCTGGGAGTAAGACCAGACTTTTCACTCCCTGAACCTGAGAACTGTGTCTACCCCTAGAATTTGGTTATTTCCTTCCCTCCTAAAAAAACCTTGCCCCTCAGGGAACTAAAAGGCTGGCTGGGTCCTTGGGCCTCGGTTTCCTTGACTTTATAATAAAGGGGTTGGATTGGATGACTTCTAAACTCTTCCACCTCTGAAGCCCATTCACAATTCTAAGTCACCAGATCTCTCCAGACTTCAGTTTCCCCATCTTTAAAATGAGGGGGTTGGACAGATGGTCACTGAGGACCCTTCAAGCCCTCGAGCTAGAATGCTATGTCTCTTCCCAGGCTGTAAAAGAGTCCGGCTTGGAACCCAAGCCCTCAGAAGCCAAGCCTAAAACTGTTTCTACCTCACTCACAGGCCGGCCTTGCTTCCCTTGGGCCCTTTCTCTGTACTGGCCCTCAAAGCTCTCAGGCACCTCAGGCCACAGGAAGACATTAGCAAAACTGGCCTGAAATAGCAGGGAAAGTTTGTCTGGCTGTGGCCCCTCTGGGGCTGACAAAGGTTACAGTAGGTATTGCCATAGTACAGCGTGTTTGGGACCTGTGGCGGGATCTTCCAGGGCAGACCTGATAATGAAATTCTCCAACCCAAAGAACAGTGTTCTTCTAGAGCAGTGGGAAGGGAAGAGGGTGAGTGTTTGTTTTTTTAAAAAGGATATCTCAGGGCAGCTAGGTGTCGCAGTGGATAGAGCACCAGTCACCTAAAATAAATAAATGAATAAATGAAATAAAAAGGATATCTCATTTGGAGAAAAAGCTGCATTGGAGAAAGGAAAATGGAGGGAGGCTAGAGGTATAGCTGGTACCAGAAGGTAGAGAGGTAGAAAAACCACCTGCCACTCCTTCTATTCCAAGTCTGGGGTGGTTTTTCCAAGGGACAGCCCTGTGATGCCGTGAGCTGAGTATGAGAGGTGTGGCTTCTGATTGGCTGAGGCTCTGAGTTGACAACATTGTCATGTGCGGGCACCAGGTGGCAAATGCCACGGGGAGCTCCCTGGTACCACAGACTGAGTGGGGAAACCAGCCCCAAGTATGTCCCTTGAATTCTAGTACCTGCTAAGAGCAGGCATCACCCTGATGAGATTATTCTCTCCCTCTTTGGGTGGGCTAGGATCATAATTCTCTCAGACAAGGAACTGTCATGTACTCCTTCTCCTACTAGATAATCAGTATTTAGTGGGAAGGAGCCAAGCTGATGAAGAGAGAGATGTTCCTCTTTCCCTTAAGAGCAATCAGAGAAAGTGGCTTTTATTCCAAACTCGTTATAACCCTACACTACAGATATTCAATGTGCACTAGATAGATATAATTATAGCCTGGGTACCCCTTCTGGAGATAGGAGAATACAGGAGAGACAATGCAGCCTCAGTGATGCTGTATCCTGTTTGTCACTTCCCAAACAGGGAACTGGCTGGGAAGATGGTGCCCTTCTCCTACTCCACAAAGGTGGAAATTCCAGTCTCTCTCAGAAACGAGGGGAGCCCAGTCCCAGATCGTATATCTATCTGTGCCCCACTCAAGCCATCAGAATTTATGCTGGATGGCCACATCCCACATATTCCACATGGTTTTAGGACTTTATGGTTTATGCAGTGATGGAAGGAAGAGTTTGGACACTGTGTGTGCAGCAGGTCAGGTGCCTCCCCACAGGCTCTCTGTCCCAAAAGGCAGGTGCTCTCTCACAGATCTACTCCTGCAAGTGACTAAGACCAGAGCTTTGAACCAAGGAGCAAATTGTGGGAATGCTGGTGTGAGAACAATTCCTGGCCAGCTCGCCCAAAATACTCCGAGCTAGCCCAGATGTCCAAATGACTTCTTAAATGTCTACCAAGGAAAGATCAGCCTGCTGGCAAGAAATAAGCCAGAAGTCACCGCTGATGCCAGGGCCGCCAGGAGCAATGAGAACTCTTCCTTCCCCCAGTTTTCTAAGAACCTGGCTGAAATTGACCTGAAAGTGACCACTGACCATGCAGATGAGTTTTCAACCATTGGGTGCTTTTTAGGGCTGCTGCAGAAGGAATTACTTCTAAGGGGATGAAATCCAGATGGGGTCAATCTGTATAGTAGGGCCACTATCTAGCAGAATTTCTTCCTCCCTCTTATAACGTGGATTGGGCTCCATTTTCCCTGAAAGGCAATAAAGCTGTCCCCGGGACTTGCTTGACCCCAGAGGACAATGGCTTGAGTTGTGTCCCACTTGGCAGATTCCTGGTAGCCTCTGGCTGCACCGATGAGACTTCCTGGCCACCTAAGGTCATAAAAAGTCCCTTCTATGTGTGGTCAGACCATAGAGTCCCACCTGTGTGTTTAGACTTGGAGGATACTTCAAGACAATGAGCCCCACATCCTGCCCTGCTGACCAAATGCCCTTCTGGCTACCTCTGCCTGAGTTGGAATATCTTTGTTCAATATCCTTTCCATGCTATGGCTAAGTAAACCTCCATTCCTATATCAAACCTAAACTGACAGGTTTCGGTCAGGACTGCTGCTAACAATATGTCATGGAGTTAAGCTGCTACTTGGGGCTTCTCTTTGAGTGTTTTCATGTTCTTCCCATAATTCTGTGATGTAGGTGTTGCAGGGATTGGTATCCCCATTTTAGAGATGAGAAAACTAAGGTAGATATGACCATGGTCAAATGTCTTTGTGACTTAGGGGCATAATCTTCCAGGACAGACCTGAGAGGCGAAGTGAGTTGCCCAGGGTTTATGTAACTGAGAAATCTGCATTCGAACCCAGTCCCTCCAGATGCCAAACCCAGAGACTTTCCCATTATTGGCCTCAATTTTCCATTGTGTTCTCCCCTTCCCCCCCCCAACCAGCCCCACTCCAGCCAGGACCAGTAACCAACCATAAAATAACCTGTTAACCTGTCAGCAGAGATCCTATCAGCCCATCAGTTCATCTGCCTGGGGAGGCTGTTTGTGACTAGCTACCCACACTGGGATCCTTACAGAGGAAAAGGAAGTCCTAATGCTCACAGCAGGATTTCTACTTCAGCCAAAAGAGTTTCAGGCCTAGAGTCAGGAAGACCTCAGTTCAAATCCAGCCTCAGACATGTACTAGTTACATGATTCTGGGCAAATCACTTAACCTCTGTTTGCCTCAGTTTCCTCATCTGTAAAATGGGAATGATAATAATAACACCCCCCCCTCCTTCAGAACTGTTGTAAGGATAAAATGAGGTGATGGTTGTAAAGTGCCTAGTACAATGCCTGGCACACAGTGAGTGCTTATTATAAATGTTAGCTACCCTTACTATTATTATTAAGTAAACAAAGCCAGGAAAACAAAATCCCACAATGATTACAATAATGTAGGCAGAAAAAACAACAAAACAATACCGAATGTTATGACATTACAGTGGCCAAATTGGACCCTGAAGAAGAAAGATGTAGCTCCCATCCTTCCTTACAGAGGTGGGGTACTATGGGTGTAGAATACTGCATACAGTGTGGGACTTGGGACTTGGTCGACGTGTCTTAGTTTTACTGAGAAGATATTTTTTCCTCTCTTTTTAATTCTTTACTCTAAAGCAGGGGTTTTTACCCTTTTTATGAGCCATGGATCCATTTGATAGTCTCCCGAAGCCTATGGACCCCTTTTCAAAATGCTGTTCTTAAATGCATAAAATAAAATACGTTGGATTACAAAGGAAACCAATTATATTGAAATACAGTGATTGAAAGGCAGCTACCTAGTGCAGTAAAAAGAGCACCAGGCCTGGAGTCAGGAAGCCTCATCTTCATGAGTTCAAATCTGGCCTCAGACACTAGCTGTGTGACCCTGAACAAGTCATTTAACCTTCTTTGCCTCAGTTTCCTCATCTGTCAAATGAGCTGGAGACGGAAATAGCAAACAACCCCAATATCTCTGCCAAGAAAACCCCAAATGGGGTCATGAAGAGTCAGACATGACTGAACAACAGCAGTGTTCAAAAGAATTTTTTTTAAGTTCACAGACTCCAAATTAGAAATCTCTGCTTTAAGGAATGGTGGCTCTCTGGAGGGGGTGGGGTGGGGAAGAGAACAAAGATTTGGACATATAAACTGTGAAAACGAAAGATGTCAATAAAAATTTTCAGGTGTTTTTAAAATAAAGTGTATTCTTTGGAGGAAAAAATAGTTGAGTTGTTAAACCTATACAACAGTGAATGGTGTGCTTCAGCAGACTCACAAAAGAGCTGGTTGTTTAATTATTAGTGTAAGCATTTATGCTTCAGAGATGGGAAAATGCTACTGTAAATAAGGGCTTAGTTTATTATTTTGTTGATTTCTAGACTTAGGAAAATGATGTAGAAAATGTTAAAGATGTAGATTAAACTTAAAAGTGTGTCCCTTGTACTTTTTTTTCCCCAGGGAGCAGGTTGTTAAACATTTACCAGTACAACCCTACCTATAAACCTGTACC